GACTGGCTGGCTTGCATTTCTGATTAATTGAATATGGCGTCTGTCATCATTATAAACACCCATGGCAAGCTATAGAGTGAGGATAATGTTTCACAGCGCAAGCTAGAGAGGAAATAATAAGACGCCTGTTACGTCTAATCATCAGCTTGTAAGGAGTACAAGGTACAGGGAACCAGCTATAGTATCGGTGTGTCGAAGTGCTCCAGCGTACTCAAATCCCTCGCTATTGTTTTCATTACAGGGATTTGTCCCTGAATTCCATTCCGAATCCCCCACTCGCGTGGCGAGAAATCCATGACCTCTTGTGACTGACTGACAATCGTCTTTCAGCCGTATGCCTTAATCGGTTTAGTTGGGAGCTGTAAATTTCCCGCCCCCAGTTCAGCTGACCTGTAGCGTCCGTCGTAACAAGACGTTGCTATGTATCGAAGACTTCGTTCGTCTCCGCTTAGTTTCGTTTTGCTTGTTTTGGGCTATTAGGCTTGCGGACAATGCCGAGCCTTTCCGAAGCTGCAGTCGGAAATGTTCGGACCTCGGTAAATCAATGGCGATTGTGTTGCTTTGGACTCACCTGGAAAAAGAGTTTTGACTTTCGGAAAGGAATTTAAAAAAGTGGACAAAATCTTGTTTGGAGGACAAGAAATATGTGAGTGACATGTCAAACGGAACTCAGTGTCATTTTAGTTGGATATATGTTCAATTTAATGGTCCACAATTTTGAGAAAGTGGTTGATCAACAGGTAATCCTAGCAGTAGCAGTCATAACAAATAAAAAGACACCTCACAGAGAAAGTCAACTCGAAGTCAACAAGGAAGATCAAGAAAAGGGCACGATGTCTAGATCTAGTGTCGACAGTCGACATGTTATGAGACGCCCACTTTTTATACCTCTGTAAGCTGTAAATGACTTCAGCATTGATATTGTCCGGTTCATTTAAAAGACGTCAAGTTATACAAATTTTGAAAGGTTCTGATAAAGAAATAAAAGGCCTGAAGGCCTTGGCCCTATACATTGTGTACGCCAGCACCTTTTGGTGGTAAGTTTTGAGGGTAAAACAAAAGAAAAATAAGGAATTGAATGGAAGATGAAAAAGTGGACAAACAAAAATAGAAATTAGAGTGTATAGAAATTTCCTCTTTGCTGTCTGTTTTCTCTGCACGATGGTATGACTTATATGATTACTCCGATAGTGAATGTGTGTCAAAAAATTTGAATGTGAAATCCCTTCCATCACACAAAAGGTCCTTGAAGGTCTATTGTATTCTGAAGTATGTTTCATTAATGGTAATTTCCAGAGAAACACAGACACACTTCCTCAAAGGACTAAAAAATAACAAATTGTATAATGCTAGATTTGGTGTCAATGGTTGTGGTTATGGTTAAGCTTCTGGGCTCATAATTGAAGGGTCATGGGTTTGAACCCTGCCAGGGGCAAAAGTTATGTCCTTGGTAGAGGTATATTGTTATATTTTCCTCACTTCATCGAAGTGGGAATGGGTACCCAGTTGTAGGCGGGAAAGATGTCTTGTCAGATGAGTTTTTTTAGTGTTTTCCGACTTAATCTGGAGCTTGGACTGTATGCTGCTTAGGACGTTGAGATTGTTATGGAATGCTATCAGGTGTTCTTGGGTAATGATATAGATTGTATAGATTTTAGAGATTTCTATTGAGTAGGAATTTGCCCTGTAAACAAACGCTTTTATCATTATCTTTGATTAATTGTCATAATTAATATGTGGCATCGGTGGCCTAGTGGTTAGGCTCTCGGACTCGTAACCGTAAGGTCGTGGGTTCGAATCCCGTCAGGGGCCTGACGTTGTGTCCTTGGGAAAGGCACTTTACACAAATTTTCCTCACTTCACCCAGGTGGAAATGGGTACCCGGCTATAGACAGCGAAAGATCTTGTCAGTTTGTAAGTGTTTGAGCGCTTAATCAGCTGCTTGCACTGTGTGCTTCCCAGGAAGCTGAGAATGTTTCGTAGCGTTCTATGGTCTGCTGGGGTAATAATATAGTGTAAAGGGCATAGAGCCTGCTGTTGAACGGGGATATGCGCTATACAAATGCTATTTATTATTATTATTATTATTATAATGATGATGATGATGATGATGATGAGATGATGAATCTCCGATGTTACGTCCTTCTCCGTCAGGATGTAACGAGAAGCCATGAAAACCCCTCAAACAGCGCATGTTTAAAAAACACATAAGAGGATTTAATCTAGAGGTCATTGCTCAGAGAGAAGCGACAATAATAGTTTAATTTAGCTAATGGAGCACCTTTATTAATGCTGTGCTTTCACCAAATCCAGAAGTTGACATACTCGAAAACTAACGTGGAAAAGAATACTTTTTATCTCTGTTTATCGCTGCAAAACCTAATATGTTATAAAGGGCATCACTGAACTCTGTTTTACAATTATAAGGGGAGATTTCAAGTTAACACATACAAACATGCATAAAAAAGGACCGGTTTATGACGTAGTTGGATAGTTGTTTTCTACGATTTCTTACTATTGTGAAATACATTTTCACACCTTAAACAATTTAAGGTAGAAATATAGCTGTATGCTTTGTCGAAGTTTTGCCTCTCAAAAAGGATATTTGTGAGGCATGCTGTCGAATGAGTTACTTCTCGCAATCCACAAATGGAGATATTGGCCAAAACTCGACACTAGGGTCAAATTTGTAAATTTCTTATTGATGCCATATTATGACATTCTTGAACTATAACATGCCTTTTATAATGTCATACTTATAAATTTTTAATGCTTCACCTTTAAGCGTGAAGTATCTTTTTCCTCAGGGATTGATTCCGAGAAGTAACTCATTTTATCAGCACCTTCACATTTGATACATGAAATACTCTGTCCGAAGTCACCCCTCTTCATCTGAAGTTTCCCTTACATTTGTCTGATGTCTCCCGTAGAGTGAGGTGGTTTTGGTTATCGTAGGGTACCTCAGATATGATACTGTGGTGGTAAAACATGATGAAGCACAAAGCTGATATCGCACTTGGTGATACCCTAATGGCTAACAGTAATGGTGAAACTTTTTTGTTTGGCTTAAATTGTTCCTGAAGTCAAACGTAAAAAAAATATGTTTGAAGCCTCCCCGCTCTCCCCTATTATTATTTTTATTTTTATAATAATTATGCCTATTGTTAATAATAATGACGATGATAATAATAATAATTTAAAAAAAAAAAAATAATAATAATAATGATGATGATAAGGATAATAATAATAATAGCTACAATAACAATAACAATAATAATAATACTTAATAATAATGATAATAATGATAGTAAAATAATGATATGCCCAGGGGAAGCCTATGTAAGAGGCCTGTTTATATAATGCCTTGTACACAATTTCGTATTTTAGGTTTTTGTCGAATACAATCTTGTTAGATTTATTTACAGTGGGTGACTTCTGGGTACATGTCAGATTGGGTATGATGTGACCTCAGGTATTTTGGCCTAGCAAGATCAATGACTGTCAAAAATAAAAATATAGAAAAATGTTTTCTTTCGCCTGCCACCCAATCTCTCTGCTCCTCCATTATCCTCGCACTTAGAAATCACTTTGTTTATGTGCAGTTGTTGGGGTATACCACTGTTTTATATTGATTTTAAGAAATTGCATCTTTAAATCTTTAGCATGATAAAACCAAACAATATCTCTCACTTTCTCTGTTGTCGACCATGTGTATTTCAATTCAGTCTCTTTTCAGTCTCTTTGATCTTCTCTGTGTCCTTCTCTAAAGACAAATATTTGTGAGCAATGATGACTGAAATGTACAAATTTAGAATTGCTGAAAAGGGATAACAAATCTGTTGAGCGTACAGTTGTAATTGCTCTAACAACAATCTGTCCAAGACAATCACCTGTATAAACAACCGCTTTCCATTTCCCTCCTCATGTCTTTTTTCTATTACAATGACATTATGATTGTCCAAGAAGGCCATCTGTCTAAGATGACTGCTTTTCTCCTCAACATTGGGTGGTCATCTAGGACATTATGTTCGACTATATTATTTCTTTATAACGAACTAAAGTGAAGCAAAGAAAAGCAAAATATACTAGATGATTAGTAATTTTTACTGTAGTAAATAGTATATGAATAAGGCTTTTTGGAGATAATAAGAAAATCCCCTGTCACCATATCCCTCCCTCCCTGCCTTTCCTTTCGTCTTTAAACTTTTTCTCATGAATACACAGGAAAAAATTTGTTAAAATGCTACTTTCTCAAATTTTCTGTGTCCCCAGCATGTTGAAGCAGGGATAAACCTGTGTTGAAGTCATAGCAGGGATCTCGGTGTTAGCAGTCACAATATGCACGTGTACAACAGCCCACGAGGGGTAGGACTGCCCATGACTCGCAACATGCCCTTCCACACAGCCTCAGTGCCTCATCGCTCTCGCAACATGACGGGGATATATTTAGGCCTGGTAGGTAGTTCGACAGCCTTAATTTATTTCTCTTTGTGCATTTATTTGATTGACACATTAATTAATCTGTTACTTTAAAAGCTGTTAGTTTGAGGACACCCACCGTTTGTCAAGTTATTTACTTATTATTTTGTGTTATGTGAGAAAATTCTTAGAATATTATCTTATGAGTAATTAAGGTCAGATACAGATGACTTTTATTGTTTGGATGGAATGAGATAGGATGTTAAAATGGTTTATAACTTTGTTCATGTGGTATCCTTTTTGGGAACTGTTGAGAATACTGGTACTAATGAAATCATGTAATAGTTATTGCAGTCTTTTAAAAGCCCTTTTACATTTAACCATTATGTAATAAATTTGCTTTTAGTTTGACTTTGAGATGGAATTTGAGTAGATTGTTCGACATCTCATCTAAGTTACTGTTAATCAATCAATATTCTATAAGTGTATTTAAGTCAGAATTTGAGATTAAAAGGAGCAAACATTTTATTACTGTTAACTACATGTTTTTGGTTAATCTTTACTTACTTTTACTTTTTCATCCTCTGTTGCCGTTAAGCCGATGTCAGATAAATCATGCTACAAGAACAAAGGAGAATACACGGTGAATCATTTCTTACTGTAAATTTGATGTTCTGTCTTGTGTGCAGGAGGGGAACAGCAAACCTCCCAGGTCCAAGTCAGCGATCCCTCCTCTGGCCCGAGGCCGGGGGATGTCCTTCAAAGTGAGGACACCAGCTGAGGACCGGAGATATGTGAGTCTGTTTGCTGGCTTCAGCCCTCTGTTTTACTGAGTGACAGTCATTTGATTTCAGAGAGACCATTTTGAGGTTTTTGTGAAAGCTTCAGTTGTATTGTACTTCTCCAGGCACGTATTAAAATTTCTTATCCGTCAGCATTCATTCGGCTGCTCTCAGATGTTCCTTTAATATATATGATTAGACTGGCCGAACCCTCCAAAAAAGCTTAAATACTTATGGCTCTAAAGGAGACAATTTTTTTTTATATTGAGCAATGGTTTTAAAGTTTTTTAAAAATTTAAAAAGTCTCTTTTAATGTATAATTAAAAGTTTTCAGAAGAAGAGAGGATGACGAATAAATTGTTCAAGTTATACAGTGGAACTTGGATTTAACGAACTCGGATTCAACGAGAACTCGGATTCAACGAGATGAGATAGATTCTCCTTTATTTTTCTTCTTTAAAATCAATAAAAGTAACACGGATTCAACGAGCACTTAAATCAGCGAACTCGGATTCAACGAGGTCGCTTCCAGGGTGAACTGCCCCCGCAGACGTGGCTTCGCTAATTTTTCTCCCAGAACGAACTTTATCTATTCCCGGTAACCATCCATTGCACCTGCATCGTGAACCATTATTCACTTACCCGATTGCGACCAATCAGCGGCCTTTTTAGATACCAACACATGTGTTGTTGGCACGCGCACGTGTCTACTCTGGCGTGTGTTGGGGTCAGACGGGCGGCCTGCACAGGGGGGGGGGCACTAGCGGTCCGGACGTTGAATGTCGCAGATACAAACGTGTTACAGTCTTTTTTCCCCTTGGCAACTGATCATTATTACAATAATAACCTAGTCTTGACGTAGATCTACGTAATGAATCGTGCGCTGGTCTATGGAATCAAAAGTTGCCGTATATTAGGCTCTACACAGCAACACAACTTTTTCGTAAACAATCGAGATGACTCAGGCGTGTGTATTTGAACGATTCAGTCTTTTTATTTTTTTACACAGCTCATAATCATTTCAGGCACTACTTGTGACTTCTCTTGTACATTACTTGCTCAGTGCCTGTAATTATCTACACAAAACCTCGTGTTTGCTATAACGAGCACTCGGATTCAACGAGATTTTAGGTCAGGCCCGACGACTTCATTGAATCCGAGTTCCACCGTATAACTACTCAAGAAAACTTTGCCATTTTTTGGAGGGGTAAAAAGTTGTTTTTTGTCAGGTTTTTTCATACCATCCTTGTCCTTACTTTTAACTTCATTTGTCACTTTTCCTGGTTTCTGTAGGAATCTTGATTTTTACTTTGAATAGCTTTCCTTTTTATTTTAATTGACCTCTTTCTTATTAGAAGTCTCTATTGTTTATCCTGCCGGGCAGGCTTTCTTCAGTGCTATACAACATCATTTCTTATTTAGAATATCATTGGATAAAGGGGGCTCAGTTGCTCAGCAGATATGGTGTTCACCTTTCAATGTGGAGGTTTGGAGTTTGATCCCTGTCAGCATTGGGATTTTTCACTCATGTTTCTTACTCCCCTCAATCCTAGGGAAGGTAGGATTGAGCATTGAATCTTCTTCAATCAGGAATAAAAATTGCGCAAGTTCCGCATGTTAAAGATCTCTTGGCTGTTCTAAAATCGAAAAGCGCATGCCTTTTGAGCCGCAGCCAAGCATAATTCAAAATTAATTCTTGCCAAAATCTGAAATAATTATTCTAGTCAGTACAAATATTAAATATACCTTCGAAATTGGCACATTCTGCTTGTCAAGCAATGGATAATTCTATATTGTATGCTATTGAAAAAGCCGTGAACATAAAATCGCCTGCTCTATGAGATGAAGATCTTACAGTCAATTACTCCCTGAGCTCTAGCAGGGTTATGATGACAAGAAGATCACTGCTTATTTCTTTGGCATATGTCTTTGGTAAGAAGAATGATTATTCATGTGTTTGAGTTTATTTACTGTGCTTTTTATTTGATTCTCTTTGATGAGATTTATGATTCAATGTTTACACAGAAAATGGTGGAGGGTTTGCGGATCAAGGAGGAGAAGAGAGGATTTACTGGGGGAGCTCTGAGGGTGAGACACAGTTTTACTCACTATGTCTTGATGCTGGAATCTTCTTGCAGATTAGAGTAGTTGCAAAGCTAATTTTTGTTTTTCGTTTTGATAGATTTAAAAGTCATACTGTTCACAAATAATGTGTGCTGACATTTATGGTTTTAGTCCCACATATCCCAAACAGATTCAAGCTCTTGTACTTCTTTTGATGTTTGTTATTAATGACATGTCTTTTTCTGTGATGTGCCACTCACAATGAGATAGGGAAAGGAACAATAGTGGTAACACATTTTACTGTGACAAGAACTGTGAATACTAGATTTCAATGGTAAAAGCTAGAGAGAGTGAGTTTAAGTTTGAGATCCCCCCCCCCCCAGTTTATTGGTTATGCTTCAATGATTTTGCCTGTCTGCTGTCCTTGCTCCTTGTCCCTGCTATTCATGGTTCAAGTGAAGAAAGGATCGATTTCCTTCTGCTTGGTTAGTTCTTTTAAAATTGGGTATGTTTGTTAGTGTGTATAGACAAGATTGTTTGAAATGATCAGTTTTTGAACTGCATTTCAATAGATCAAATAAAAAATGGTTTGGAATTTTCAAGACTGAACTGTTAATGGTAGCCATGCTTGAGTGGCATGGTTTGAGACGTATTAGAGTCAAAAACAGATTTAGTTCAATTTACTGGCCTATAGCCTGACCGAGTATAGTTTCAGTAAGAGTTTTATGGCATTTGCAACACAGTAAGGTCATACAAGTACCGGAAATTAAAAATATAACAATACGGTAACAAACACAAGAAAAGAGGAGAGAAGATAAGGACGATACATGTTTAATTGGGAAGAGGGAGCAAACCACACCAGCACGCCTGCCAACCGCCCACATGATTGAGTATGCACGTATTTGTAAAAAAATTTGTCAGACAGCTGTTCAGGTGTCCTATGCCCAAAATTGTGAAAATTTAGCGAATTACATTTTCTGAATCTGTTGTAATTTCTAAATGTTGAAGAAAGCAAGACAAAATTCATGATGTATGCACACTTGTTTTTAAAAGATTAAACAATTTTTTCTCTCTCTTGAAAAATTTAACTTTCTTGGCTTAATACATTTGAATATCTTGCCGACATGAGGAATTTGTATTGTTGATAATAGTATTTTTTTGACAGCTGTTTTAAATAGATATTTGGAGCAGTTCACAAAATTTAAAAAATGTGCTCCCCCCTCCCTGCCCTTATATTGTTTTTAGAACTGTAAGTCAGCCTCCACAACGGCTCAGGAACAGAGACAGAGCCAGCGCAATGACAGACGCAAATGGGGGCCGGCTAGACGTATTGACCCCAACAACATTGATGACCTCATCAGGTGAGATCTTAGCAGGGGATGTTGGGGTGGTGGTGGTGGAGAGTGTAGTCCAAGGATCAAAAGGGGACTTTGTTTAAGGATCAGTCTGTTCTTTTACTCTGGCTACACTATTTGAAGATATCCTGAAATTGTGTTCCATATTATTCTATGAGGAGAGCAGAGAGCTGTCCATTGTAATAAAGGTAATAACTTCAGCTGTAGTGTTTCTCAATCTGATACACCGCTTGTCTTTAACGGGGTTTTGTCTGTCTGTAAAAGGTAGATCTAGGTGACATTTCTGTGTCTGTCTGTCTGTCTGTCTGTCTGTCTGTCTGTCTGTCTGTCTGTCTGTCTGTCTGTCTGTCTGTCTGTCTGTCTGTCTCTGTCTCTGTCTCTGTCTCTATCTGTGTCTGTTTCACTCTCCCCCCCTCTTCTTCTCTTTCTCTCTTTCTCTCTCTCTCTCTCTCTCTCTCTCTCTCTCTCTCTCTCTCTCTCTCTCTCTCTCTCTCTCTTTCTTTCTTTCTTTCAATCCCTCTCTACTTCCCCGTCTCTCTCTAGTCAGCAGCTTATCTTTTCTTACAATTTTTTTCACCTTTCTATCTCTGTCTCTCTGTTGTTCTCTATGATTTTTAGAATATGATTGGATCGGAATGCACATAAAACCTTAAAGTTTTTTTGTCTGCAGCAGAGAAAACAGGAGCTTGGTTTTACTTCTCTTACTATCTGTGGGGTGAAAAACGTGAGAAAATGTAAGACTTTTTTCTGTTAATTGTTACCAACACAAACACAAAATTTGACATGAGAAGTGAGAAGCTTTACCTATCAGCAATAACTCCTCCCAAAGTCCCAAACCCGGCCGTCTTGCTCCTACCCCTCATCTGTCCTTCTTCCACCTTTTTATTGCAGTAGGAATTGTAAAATGATAGGTTTGTATCAGGACTCTACTATAGTACCATAGACTATGGGTTTTAATCTGCAAAAGATGCTCCGCCTTCTTTACTTCCATAAACCCATATGAAAATGAATGCTTTGCCATCAAGACGTTCGGAATCATATAAATGATAGAATTTGAAGATCTAACAGTACAGTTGCTTCAGTGTATGACCACATTGGGGTTATCCTGGAAAGTTGGGATAACTGGTCCAGTCAAAGCAGCTAGCGTGAGGTCATGTATGTTTGTGATCAGAAGTGGGTGCGAGACAATATCGTTGCTTTTGCAAAGAAGAATTAATGTCTCTATTTGACTCTGGTTCTGTAAGGTTTAGTTAAAAAAAGCATTACAGGTAAAGACTACCTGTCCTAGGCAATCTTCAGTACAAATGATTACTTCCTACTCCCCCCCCCCTCCCCCCTCCCCTTGCATTTTTACTATAATATCATAGTGACATTTCTAAAATTGCGCAAAGCACCTATCTAAGACACCCATTTTTCTCCTCGATAATGGGTAGCTGTCTTGAATAGTTTCAAAGTACTGTACTTTCTTGTAACAGCAAGAGTATCTTGTCTAAAACAGCTTTATGCGCTGCTCTCAATCGAAAGCTCCATATCCTGGACTCTAGCTCGGAGATCATCAGGAGAGAATGCGTCGCTGTTTTGGGCTATTCCTCTCTACAGCTTTTCTGACACACCAAGCCCCCTCATCGATGTGGGGTCTCCGTGTTAGTCCGACTGTTTTCGTCATCTAATTTCACTTTATAATTTTTTATAGTAACTCTTTTCCTGTCATTTTCAGGCCAAACCCACGCAACTTCACCCCGGTGGCTAACAGCGGTGTCACTCGCTCTGAGCGCTTAGTGGGCTGGGCACCGCACCCTGACCCCTACATGCTGATCCCAGACCCTTATACGGTGACCCCTTCTGACCTCGTGGCTGACGAAGTAGCGGAGGAGGTGCACAAACTGGCGAGCAGCAATGATGAGCTGGCCGGATTAGAAGAATGTTATAGGCGTATCTGCAAGGTGAGATGCTTATGTTATTAAGAAAAGCAATAGTTGAGCAGAATTAAGACAAAACTGTTTCTTTCTATTACTCATCCGGTCAAAAAATGAGGCAGAATTAGAATCTGTGAGTTCAGACTCAATATTGTTATCACATCTATTAAACCTATCTTATATTTGTCAAGGAAGGCAAGTTCCTTGGGATGTTTGACTCAACAACACAGCAATGCAAATAATAACCCAGTTTCTGTACTCTTTATTTCGAGAGGTTGTGCGGTTTTTTTTGGTCATCTTTGATGGGATGTACCTTGCGTTCTTCCTTCTTTTTGTTACCAGAAATCACATGTGTTTTTGAACTTTCTGTTCTACTAAGTAGTAGATGTAATACACTAATGAAGAATAACTTTAAAAAAAATCTTTCTTTTGTTTTTTCCAGATAGTATTTATGAACTACTACGTCCTCTCACTTTTTAAAAACTGCTTTTTTCCTATTGTTTTATTTTTTTGTATCTTGCCTTTTGCAGTTGTAATTGACCTTAATTTATGTTGTTCTACTTTCTTCAACTTATAGAAACTAACCTCCTAAATCTGGATATTCAAATGATTTATGCTTCATATTTTCGTCATTTGGGAGTGCTCAGTCATGCATGAAAAAAAAGTCAACTATCCACCTGTTAATAATAGTGTTAATAACAATGGCACTTCACAAGAGGCTCTTGGGAGCTTTAGGGTGGTATTCTCCTTCTACTTTTTTCCATTATTGCTACTTCTATTCCTGCTGAAATGTTTCTCTTTTTGAACCAAATAAACTATGAACTGCTACTCAACCTGTCCTGTATGAAATAGGTGGAGGCCCATCCAAGACCCAGGGTATGTCGCCCTTTATCGCCTTCCAGCATGTTCCCCCTTATTGGCTAGTATGCTCTCGGTGTGACATTATCATTGGGGAAAATGGCAAATTGTGATTTTACCTTCATACTTTATAAAATCTACAGTATTAAAAATTTATTTATGACAGACTTTAATATTTTTGAGTTCTGAAGTTTGGTTGTGGTATTCATTCCAAGTAATATTAAACAGACTCTACTGAAAATAAATCAGGATTTGTCTGGGAAATACTAATTGTTGTCAAAGATGGATGTGGTTTGCCATTTTCACTCATATTATGTAGCCTTTTCATAGTTTTTTCGTACCACTTTTATACCTCCCTCTTTTCCTCTTTCTCATCCTTCCCTGCTACTCTCTCACTCCTTCCATTATGTCGCCAGTCCTGTGCAAGAAAATATTTTTTATCCAGCTGTAAAAATAAAAAAAAGCAACAACTATGAACAAACTTTTCCACTCATGTTCATACACACACACACACATACACACACACCTAGCCACCCGGGCAAAATTCAAAATTTCCTACCAACGAAAAAGTATTAGGTGTGTCCCGCGCGCTCATATGACCTAT